TGCAGATCTGGGACGTTTACATGAAAATTAGTCCTTGGCCACCCTTGTGGCCCACTGAGTGAACTGCAGTTAAATTGTATCTAGTGCCCCTGTGGTCGACATAGTGAATTGCAAGGTAGAAACCTCTAGTGCCGGACTCAGTGTATTGCAAAATAACAACGTTCTCTGGCGCTTTCTAGTGCTCAAAGTAGTGTATGACAAAATAAAATGATCCTCTGGCGCCATCTAGTGGTTAGACTAGTGCATTGTGTATTGCAAATTAAAATTGCTCTCTGACGCTATCTAGTGGTTAAATTGGTGTACTGCAAATTAACATCACCCTCTGGTGCCATCTAGTTGAAATAGCCAATTGCAAAATAAAATTGCCATTTTGTTAATCTGACGAGTAGTGAATCACAGAGTATAGCTAAAACAGTCTGCCTGCGATGGTCATCTTAGAAAAGTACAACTTATTTTTCTCTGACCCTTCACTTTGTGATTTGGATAATGGAATTTGCTCTGCATATGCAAATCACTAGTGGGAGAACAGTTAAAGAGTGGTAAAATTACAATATTGAAAACGTTGTGAAAGATTAATTGCTCTGTGCTCAGATTGTTTTGTGTGGTTAAAGTGAATTTGTGCACACTTGGTGAACTGCAATTAAATTGTATCTAGAGCCCCTGTGGTTGACATAGTGATTTCAAGGTAGACCCCTCTGGCTCCCTCTAGTGTCTGACTGAATGTAACACAATAACACAATTCTCTGGCACCATCTAGTGGTCAAACCAGCATCATCCATCTGCAGAGCAGGAAAGCCAGCCGCAGTTCTAGACCAGCAGTTCTAGGGTATGCCATACTTTTAGACGTACGCCACATACAAGAACGACGAGTACCTGTTACACTCATTTCGGAAGGTTATTTTTGGATCGTTGTAATTTCTCTCTTGTTATAATGGATGAATATGGTGTACTTTAGTTAGCTATGTGGTTATTCACTGGCGCTTTCTAGCGCTCAAACCAACCTTAAAGACGACCTGCTGCAGAAGCTTCGTGAGCTCAGTTTGCTAAGGGAACAAAGCTCACGGGGGCCCGCTCGCACCCGGCAGACCTCTGCGTCTCCCGACGAGGGTGGCCCGGGGAGGGTCCGCCGAACGGCAGAAGTGTGGGAAGAGGGCTGGGGTCGGTGCTAGGCTAAAGGGTAACCTAGCGGAGAACCTCACCTGGACCCCGAACACCAGCTTCATAACCGAGAAAGCCCAGCAGCGTCTCTATTCCCTGCGGAAGTTAAGGAAAGCTTATTTCCCACCCGTCATCCTTACCACCTTCTATAGAGGCACCATAGAGAGCATCCTCAGCAGCTGCATTACAGCCCGGTTTGGGAATTGCACCGCTTTCGAACGCAAGACCCTCCAGCGAATAGTGAGGACAGCTGAAAAGATCATCGGGGTCTCTCTTTCCTCCATCACAGATATTTACACCACACGCTGCATCCGAAAAGCCACTAGCGTTGTGACTGACTGACCCCACACACCCCTCACACGAACTCCTCTGCCATCTGGAAGAAGGTACCGCAGCGTTCGGGCCGTCACAGCCAGACTGGGCAACAGCGTCTTTCAAAAAGCCATGAGATTCCTCAACTCCCACGGACCCACACACACATATACATAACTCCCACACGGACCCACACACACATATACATAACTCCCACACGGACCCACACACACATATACATAACTCTCACACGGACCCCCACACACATATACATAACTCCCACACGGACCCACACACACATATACATAACTCCCACACGGACCCACACACACATATACATAACTCTCACACGGACCCACACACACATATACATAACTCCCACACGGACCCACACACACATATACATAACTCCCACACGGACCCACACACACGCATAACAATATGGGACTAACTCACTCCCCACTCCCACTTCTTGCAGTTCCAAATCATGAACACTGTATTTAAATATAGTTATTGCATTTCACAGAAACACTTCACGTAATATAATTGTAGATCTGAATACTTGCATTTTGCACATTTTACTTCACTTGACTTGCTGCTAGAATTACTGTTTCAACCAAATACTGTATGCTGTGTATTGCTGTTCTGATTGCTACCTCAGTGACTGCTATGCTCATATATGCTAGGCTCTCTTCTAAGCTGCTAATATGTCATAGTATGTAGCTCTGTGTTGCACAGCTCCACATACTCTCAGTACCGTGTACTGCCTGTGTTCTGTTTTGTATTTATTGTAAGTCTTTCGTATTTATTTACTGAACTGTACTTGTGTTCCTGTGTTGGTCCTGAAGGAATGTTGTTTCGTTTCACTGTGTACTTGTATGTAGCTGAAATGACAAAAAAGCCTGACTTGACTTGATGTTTCATATTTAGTTGTAGCTAATTTGACTAATTTTGACACAAAGTTAAGGCAGCTAGCTAACGTTCACTAGATTGTTAGATTTCATTAGCAGAACTTTTAGCTGTACGACCACCCTCGACTTAAAGTAGTTTTGGTATGTTTTTTCGTCATGATTTACAAGTTATTAGTGATAAACTAAATTCACTCTATTGGTTTAGTTCGATGTACATAGGCTACAGGTGCAAGTAACACTTAAAGTGCAGAAACAAGTTAGTGATCAATGAACCTGGTCACTAACTGCCGAGTAGCATCAGTCGTGTTTGGCTAAAGTCCAGGACTGGAGTTCCCCACCATCACAACAGTTTACCACAGTGGTCACCGAGCCTGGTCCTGGAGATCTAGCTTCCTGTTAATGAGCCACACCTGGTCCAGCTAATTAGCTACTTCACAGGTCCTTGATAGGCTGAATCAGATGCAGCTGTGTTAGGTGAGGGTAGGGGGACAGCATGCATCTACAGGTTGGAACTAAACTCTGTTTGCCAGAAAGTAGATCTCCCAGAAGAGGGCCGGTGGCCACACATTTTCAACAGAAAAAGATACCTCTGATGACTTTGCTTCAAAAAATCAAGAAGGCAGCAATGATGCACACACCACGTTCTCACACGCTGGCATTTATTTAGTCTGTCATTTTAGGGGGATTTCATCATTTTAGGTTGGGGTGTAGGACGATATTAGATATTAGAATGTTAAAACGAGCCGTTTACATTACGGAGCTTCAAAGAATGATCTATGTAAACGTGCACGGTTCGGATTGGCTGTTTGGTCAGAAACACTTCTTATAACTTCAGGTCGGTGCTCTGACATCACGACAACAGTGAATTCAAAACAAGCTGTTCCTGCATAACTTTCATATATAAAAAGTGAGATGACGTGAGTTTAGCTCAGACATAGGCTCTTTTAGATTGCGGGCCACGGTTCACACGCTGTTCCAAACTTCTCTGGAACTCTTACCGTCATTGAGAAGACTAATCAAAAATGCTTATAGACTTAAATAAAACTACTGTGTTCTTAGAAAAAGATGAGAAGGCTTCTTTTTTTGGTTGTGAATATATGAGGAACAGCTAGGTTGTAATTAACATAGTGCCTTAGAAGCACTTACCCTCAATGTGAAGACCAGCACTAAAATACTTACACAGTGTGAAACTGCAAACGAGCATCTGTCTGAAACGGTTTCGTGTTTATGACTATTATCCAGAAACCTATGAGCATTTTTCTATCGCTGACATTAAACCGAGCAGAAGGTGATCAGTACTTGTTGGATTTAAAGCCGCACCGTTAAACGGAGCTCAGCGATCGGTCGGTCAAATTCGGCTCTGTGCCCTAGGATCGTCGTTCGTGGCGACTCAGAAAATTAGCTTAATTATAACGCCATGTCAAGGAACGACTAAAAGAAGTTACCATCAATCTGAGAACCAGTCCTGAAACAGTCGCTTACGGTTTTACTTTCTCAGGGTTTCCAACAGAGAGCACACGTCTAGATCCCGTTAGAAAACCATGGGATGCATTTGCAATCAGCCGCCTGTTAAAGCATTAGGAACATCTCAGTTTATGTCAAATCATGTTCTGGCCTTCATGGGCTTTGAGTCGTTAGAGGATGCAATTTTTGTGTGTCTTGGAATCTTCAAGACAAACCCCCCAAAAAAAGGCTGCTGTGTGTGCAGCTTGGTGGCTTAGTGGGACCAGCCTTGGCCTCAGATGTGGGAGGTTGTGGGTTCAAGCCAAGAAGAAGAAGAAGGAGGAGGGAGAGGGGAGAAAGGGGAGAAAGGGAAGAAAAAAGAAAAAAGAAAAAAAAAAAAAAGTGGGTCAATTAAAGGGGCAACATTTTAGTCAGCTTGCTAAGTAAAATGAGGGTCCAAGTAGGTAGAATTTTTGCATACCCAAAGGGTTAAGTGCAACTTTTTTTCCCAGCAAAATTCTGCATAACCCCCTCTTGTCCTCTCTCCTGGGCCCCAGGGGGGGAGACGGGTATACCTTCCCCCCTGGTTCTTGGGTTGCGCGCTCCGGCCTTCCTCGCATGTCATGCATTGTACACCCTTCACCCTGTGTGTTTCACCACCACCGTGATGTGAGGATCCTGCTCGGGATATGAACCGATAACCTCCAGACTGTAGAGGCAGGGCATCTACCAGTGAGCCACAGGATCTCACAAATGTCCTCCTTTTTTTTAACATTTGTCTTTGTTTTTGCCATCTTTACTGATGAAGACATGCAAATGAAAGCCCTAAAGTGGGGCTTGAACCAACAACTCTCTGGTTGTAGAAACATGATTTATACCAGCAAGCTACAGGGCCCGCAGGGAGCTGTCCTTTTTTTTTTAACATTTGTCTTTGTTTTTGCCATCTTTACTGATGAAGACATGCAAATGAAAGCCCTAAAGTGGGGCTTGAACCAACAACGCTCTGGTTGTAGAAACATGATTTATACCAGCAAGCCAAAGGGCCTACAGAGAGCCTTCTTTTTTTTTAACATTTGTCTTTGTTTTTGCCATCTTCACAGATTAAGACATGCAAATGAAAGCCCTAAAGTGGGGCATGAACCAACAACCCTCTGGTTGTAGAAACATGATTTATACCAGCAAGCCAAAGGGCCTACAGAGAGCCTTCTTTTTTTTAACATTTGTCTTTGTTTTTGCCATCTTCACAGATTAAGACATGCAAATGAAAGCCCTAAAGTGGGGCTTGAACCAACAACTCTCTGGTTGTAGAAACGTGATTTATACCAGCAAACCACAAAGCCTACAGAACAGTGCCTTTTTTTTTGGACATTTGTCTTTGAGATTCCCAGGTTGTGCATCTACCCACATTTGGGCACATCTTGTGCCAGGATGATTTATGGAAGCGATGGTTCCAAAAGGCAGTTCCAGCTCTGGAGCTCTTACGGTAAAAAATGAAGACTGAATGCTTTTAGCCTTACAATAAACACTTGTAACAACACTATACTTTTTATGTTCCTGTTTTAGGAAGAGAGCTCTCAGGGAAATAGCAAATGCTAAGTAGCAGTAATGCTAACCAGTCGTCGCTCAGTATCCGGTAATGTCAGCGTCTGTTTGCTGTAGAAAAGGAAACGTACAGGTGAGGTTTTCTTCTGTGTTCTGTGTAAATGATTTGAAACAGTTTTAACTTTTCGATTTTAGCCGTTTAGCTCCGTTCACCCCCGTTCACTGAGGACCCGCTCTTGGGCACCCTCTGCTGTTTAGCAGTGATATTTTTTGAGATAAAGGTGGAAACTGGAAGAGACCAGACTCCTTATAAACCGGCTCTGTCAAACTTTGATTTGGCCATCCAGAAAGTTATGCCACTCCCTCATCCAGTGAGATAAGAAAAAAATGAACTATATTTGTATTGTACATGTAATTTACTATATTTACTCCAAATAGTACTGCTAAAGTATTTCAGTAACATAATATAGTGTAATGTTAGACAATCATGTTAAAATCTCAGTTTAAAACTATTTGTTTATTTTGTACTTTTGGGCTTTTTTTGTTGTTGTTACCGCAAATACTGCATTTTGGCCCGACACGAAAATGACCGCTAGAGGGCGCTAATGAGCGTTTCAAGTTGAAAGTATAAAAAATGAAAGCGGTCAAAAACTGTTTTGCTCCTCATCGCCAGCAGATGGCACAGTTCTGCACTGTCCCTCCTCATCACCAGCAGATGGTGCAGTTCTGCACTGTCCCTCCTCATCGCCAGCAGATGGCGCAGTTCTGCACTGTCCCTCCTCATCGCCAGCAGACGGCGCAGTTCCGCATTGTCCTTCCTCATCACCAGCAGATGGCGCAGTTACACACTCTCCCTAGAAACAGATCAGTAATCAGTGGAGTGGATATTCCTGTAATGAGCCACACCCACTGCAGCTAATTAGCTTCTTCAGAAGTGCCTGATTGGCTGAATCAGATGCATCTGTGTTAGCTCTTACCATACTATTGAAGGTTAGTCAAAAAATGCTTATGGCCTTAAAATAAGCCAGTGTGCTGGTTTATATGGTGTATTTAAAAAAACCCTGTCAAGACTTTCATCTGTGGTTTTTGGGTAAGAGTGTTATGTTACGGTGTAAAATATAAGGAACTGCTAGATTACAGATACTATGGTACCTCAGAAGTGTTTACCATCAATGTGAAGCCTGGTACTAAAATGCTTAAAAACTGTTAAAGAGCAAATGCACATCTGTGTAAAATGGTCTAGAGTTTAATCTCTATGACTGTTACAGAGTCCAAAAAAAACACTACTCCAAAAACACCTTTGTGTCTCTGACATTAAAATAAACAGAAAATGATAAACACAAATTAAATTGAAAATTTCAAACTCCAAACTCCTTTCTTGGTTGGTCAATCTTGGTTCGGTGGCCTAGGATTCTCATTCATGGTGACTCAAAAATTTGCAAAATTACAATATAACCATGCTAAGAAATGACTAGAGGTTACCATCAATTTGAGAACTAGTCCTGAAATAGCTACTGTTCATAAGAAAACGTAATGCGATAGAGACTAAAAAATATCCGTAACTACACAATGGTTGGTAAAATAACACTGAAATGACCAAAAACAGAAACGCACAAGATCATTGCAGAAAAGAATTACTGCTTAAAAATTTCTAAGCACAGTATCAAACAGAGAATTAACTGCTTCATTGGTCAATCTTAACTTGGAGCTCCAGCCTTCTTCTTTATGGTAACTTGTGAAATTAGCATATTACCATGTGTGGAAATCAATAAAAGTTACCATCAATTAACCAACTAGTCTTGAAGTAGTTATTGTTCATAGTGCCTTTTATTTGTATAAATTTGGGCCGCTCAGGTTGCGTCGTTTCCATGGCGCTGTGCTTGAGATGGTGGGCTGAACCAATACTGGCTCGCCTCAAATCCTGCCTACTATGGGTGAGGCTGAGGGACCGCCTCTTAAACACTGAAGGGCGGGGCATCGGCCCAAATTTACTCTACCGCCACCGCCGCGGCTCCCCTCCCGCTGATCTAAACACAACAAATTTTTGAAAAAACTGATCCCTGTTGCGATGCTGGTACTTACTCTATGTGTCTAGGCTTCTCGTTCGTGGTAGAAATACCTGTTTATTAGTGTTTTTTCTCGTCTTCACCGTCGTCGAGAACAGCGTTCACATCACAAGCCTTATAAAGACTCGTTTGAATTTTTTTATTTAATTGGCTTCTCTGATTGGTTGCTTGCTCATCAATATGCAAATGTATGCAAAACTGGTGTGTAAGATCAATAAGTCCATGAGATTCTTGGCGTCTTGCATTCTGGGAAGGTTATTTGTGCTGCAGAAAATCCAGCTGAATGACGCTTCAGACTGATCTTTCAGACTGAACTCAGACCAACAACCAGGAACTTTTCAGCATGGAATGAAGATCCAGAGGCCAAAATCCAGACCCCGTTTCCTGAAAGCATCACAGTGTTAACATGATCAGAGCTGTCAGAGCAAGTGGAAACAGTTAAACGTACCTCCAACATTTCATCAGTTACTACACAATCTATTCACCTCATTCACTCAGCAGGTTGACAACATAAAAACAATTGTGATGTTAAAAGTTTACTACTAGCAATACTGTCATTTACTTAAAGATTATATATTCATAAATTGTCATTCATATAAAAACCATAAAAACCTTAATCAGGTAAACATCAGGACACAACAAGCAGAGCAGAGAGCAGCCAAAAACTGATACCACCTAAAAACTACATTAGTACCTTAAAGAAAAACAGAGCTGCTACAAAAGCAGAGATCTATAATTTTTCTCTACTGGTCAAATTTCCTGAGATACTGAGGATAAGAATTGTCAATAAAAATAAATGAATAAATGGGAATGTAAATTAGAAATATCTAAAAAGTATCAGAAACGTTCTATGGGAATAAAAAGATCAAGCAAACAACCAAATCATAAACGGTCAGAAAAAGACAGCTGTACAACTTTTAGGAGTGTTTTCTCAAAACAGACACAAAGTCTTGTAAATTATGTCACTGTCACATTTCCAGTGAAGCAGCACCAGCACAGTTACATTAATCAGCAAAATCTGCTGCTAATAATTCCTGACAGTAGACAGTTCTGGGCTGACAGTGGCTTTCACACATGAGTGTTGGTCAACTCCGGGGCAGATGTTAGGCATTCAGGCCAGAATAGGGCCAGATGCTGTAATGTTGAGTACAGCTTTGCCTTGGGTCTATATGTGTGGGCCAATTCTGGCATAAACGTTATGCACCAACAGTGTAGAGATTCTAAAGATTACAGTTGTTTCCATATCATTTTGTAAAGATTATAAGATTTTTGACTCAGATATCTGACATATATTTTAATGAGTAAGTTAATGAAAAAATAATAAGTGTTACTGAATGTCCTGGTGACCTGAAATCTTCTCTGGCAATTTTAACCTGTTTTGAAGGCCACCAGCAGATGGCGCAGTTCTGCTCTGTCCTTCCTCATCACCAGCAGATGGCGCAGTTCCACACTGTCCCTCCTCATCACCAGCAGATGGCGCAGTTCTACACTGTCCCTCCTCACCACCAGCAGGTGAAGTTCATTACTAATTAAAGGCTTTTAGATTTAAGAGACGCCGCTGAGTTTAAACCGTAAGATCTCCTTCAGCTGAAGCGAACTCAGCTTCGCTTACACAGCCCTCAGGTGGAGCTCTGACTGTGGATCAGTTCTAGTTTGGAGGACTGAACTCCTCTCCTCTTTATCTAGAACACCAACATGAGAACCACGGCACTAAAAAGATATTTGTGGTTAACTAAACTCCCCGAAGAGCGAAACGAGGACGAGTTTAGGTCTTTGCCTTTGTTTAGGTTTGCAGTCTCTCTCCAACAGTCTTAAACGATCACTCAGGTGAGAAGAAAGTCACTATAACCACTATAACAGAGCACTAAGAGCACCAGGACGGAAACTAGAACAGCACCATTGATATTTTTGCAATTAGCACTTTGACTAACATTATTAGCATGTGTGCTAGCAGTTAGAGAGTGTTCTTGTTAAGATTCTCCTCATTAACGTCAAAAACATTGGCAGTTAAGCCCTCCTGAGGTTTGTAAACGGAGCTCTGAGCTGATCTGGTCTTGCTGAAGACACTGTTTCTGTTTTGTTCTTGTACCTTTACATTTTCACACTTTACTAAAATAACAGCATCATTTCAGTTCATAATAATGTCTGATCAGCCTACCTGACCTTGGAGCCGTTCTTCTTCCTCCATTTTGAGTCACTCTCCTTCTAACAGGACACCTCATTGGCTGATCTGTTAACATTTCATTGGCTGATTGGTCCGTTATTAACACAGACCTCTTCGTCACCAGCAGATGGCGCAGTTCTAAACTGTCCCTCCTCATTACCACCAGATGGCGCAGTTCTACACTGTCCCTCCTCGTCACCAGCAGATGGCGCAGTTCTGCACTGTCCCTCCTCATCATGTAACATAGATGATTATCATGGTGTAAACACTGAGCCAGTTTTAAAGACTTTGGGACGTAAAATTAATTAAATATTGAAAATGTTGTGCAAATAAACGTTAGCTTTCATAATTAAGTGCAATCAAGAAGCCAAAATCTGAACAGATTAATTTACAGTGACTCTTGTTTGTCATAAACTCCAAAAGTATTTTCAGAACCGCCTGGAGACTAAAGTCTTACACAGAAACCGAAAGAATAATCAGAGGTTTTGTTTTATTCCACAGTTCGAACAAAAAATTCCACTGTTTCTTCTGAACTGCTGGTGAAAAAACCTGTGACACACCTAATAAACTCACTGCTGCCTTCGATGGTACCTCCATCTCCACAACTGTGCTCATCATCGCCCTCAAGTGGTAGAAATAAATCACTGCATTACAGATTCAGAAAAATCAGTTTTTGTGTATTTTGTGTGGTTTTTCTTCACAGTAAACTGTCAGATTCCACATTCAAAACTGTTACTGAACAATTAGAATTACACATGATACTGTGGTAAATAACGCCTCAGTGATCAGAACTATTTAAGCTGTCAAATAGGTTATGAGTGAGATAACATGCAGATACTAACGGTGGGACTACATCCCTATTCTATTATATTTAAGCTATTTCCAATACATTTCCAGTGGAATGTCCAAAGCAAAGCCTTTAAATAGTGGATTTTTATGTTGTAACAGCAGTTTTCCATGCAGCCCGTCTCTCTCCTGAAGCCGTATCTGTCTTTTTAAAATTCTACTGTCCAAAACTCAGATCTGTACTAGACTGGAATGGATCAGAAATGGGATCATCTGATCTCTGCTTTGGTGTGAGATCAGACTAAACTAAGAGCACTACTGTCTAAGTCTGGGTCTCCCTAACTCTGGGTGTGAGTTTGGAGGAGATTGGACAAAGTCAAAAATGTCCTCTAAAAAAACTCCAAGGGGTCCCTCTGAGAGGATTAGTGGGTGAAAATGTTGACTTTCTCCGATCTTCTCCAAACTCAGACGGTGGGTTAGTGATGATCAGACGTAGACAGCTGCGCTCTTAGTACCATCCCAAAGTGTTCCAGAGCCGAGATCTGACTCTCCCATATCCAACACACTCCAGTGGAAAATATACAGGTTTCAGACGGTGGAGTTTTTCAGCTCCGACTGACTCAGTTCTTCCTGTTCTGACTCCTTCAGAATAAGAGTCCTTATCAGAATAACGCCGTGAATAAACGCTGCAGAACAGACAACCTGGAATTAACGACCCACGTTTCTTGATCAGGATACAGTACATTATAATTATAGAGTCTGAAAGATCTCCTGATTGAAGCGGCGGTAATGTTAATGATGAACAGCAGGGGGCGCACTCACACTGTTCGTCGTTCAGTTCCAACCGTACAAGACCAGAATCCACCCTCTTTAAAAGGGGAGAGACCAAAAAACTCCAAACTGAGGGTCAAATTACCTTTTCAAAAACACATTTAAAGACACGATAAAATCTGACAAAACCTCATAAGAAGTTTGAAGCGTTTGGCTCAGTAACGCACAAAAAACATCTTTTTTCAGGTCGTTCTGGCTACTGATCGCCACAACAAGGGGGAGGGCTCACAGCGCAACCAGCAAGCTGATTGGCTCTGCTTCTTGATGGGCGGGAGTTTCACCGTAAACAGACGCCATGTTGAGCGTTGCGAGTTTTCCATTCCCATTTCAACCAGTGGCCGGTCTCCTCAGTTATAACGGCTCGGGTTTTTCTCACTCAGCAAAAGAAAGAAAGCTGACATCTTTACAGCTGGACATTAGTTTACATCCGTCTTCTTGTCTGTCGGTCGTGTCCGCGTTCTCTGTTTCTCTGTGTGGACTTTCAGAATTACAGACCCTCACCTTCTTTAAAGCAGCGCCACAGAAACGCTGGAGAGTTTCAGTGAGTCATGGAGTAGAGAAGAGAACAACTACAGCTACAACTACAACTACAATAGAATAAAGTAGAGCCCATTTCACTCATTTCTCTCTGCTCAGCTGTCAATTTCTAAACGTACTCATTTTAATATTAAGCCACGCCCCCCAATTTAGTTAAAGGACAATTCCACCAATTTTTCTAAAATTCTCCGTAAGTTAATGGCTGATACATATAAAATCATTCAGAGTGGTTTGGTGTGAAATGCTGTTCTAAAGAAACTTACCGAGTCAGAACTGTTCACAGTGGTGGTGATAGGAACCAGACGTCCACCTCTAAAAGCTCCCTCACAGAGTTACTACATGAAATGCTTATGAATTCACTGCCTGATGACTGAGGCACTGTTTTATGATGGTTCTGAGATCAACATTTGGGCTACAATCTACTTTTGAGTCCATTAATGGTGAAGAGATCCAGGTAAAGTGGGACCCAGTAAAGCTTATTATTTCAGATCTTCCATTATTTTACCATCATCCTCATCCTCATCATCATCATCATCATCATTGTATATAAAACTCAGAAGATGTGTGGAGGTTCACTGGTGGTTTTGTGGAGAAAGTTCTAGTATTATCTGTATAACAATAAGTAACACTTCACAGTGACTGTGTTTTCATGAAGAAGTCATGTTATATTCAGTAACACTCCACTACAGTTACAGAATCACTCTGAAACATTCAGTACATATATTCAGATATACTTAGATACATTCAGTAGTAACAAGATAAAAACAGTCAACTAATAAAATGGTGATTATTAAACATGTCTTGGCTGATCAACTGTGCCTGGGGTAAGTGGGAAAGTACACGTTTTTCAGCGAATGTCCGAGTGAAGCTCATCTGCCAGAAAGAGAAAATACAGAACTAAACACAAAACTGATGAGACCTTTTAATGAGTCATTTTCATCTACAGTTACAAAATAAAGCAAAGGTTCAATTAGAAAGTCAACTACGGCTTGTGTTTCTGGGAACGCACTCCTCCCTTTCTGGTGCATAACGCAGCCGCTTCTTGACCACATCAGGAAAGACCATCAGCGTCAGTGATTTATGTTGCTGACACCTAAAAACAGACAATATTAATAAACCATTAATAACACAGTTTCAGATTATGTTCAACCACATCATCTTAGCCTGAAAGCAGTTCATTCAAATAGTAACCGGTTCACTAAACTGGGCCGGATTCATAAACCACACTGCGGAATTTATTATAATGTCGATGATGTGAATTACAAGTAGATTTTATTGCAAATTAACACCAACATGCGAATATAACCTCATTTAGTCAGAAAGTACATCTCCTGGTAAAAAGCCACTGTGCACTGATGGAGTTTCCTCATAGGCTACTGAAATGTAATTATTCATAACTGTGTTCACAGTTGATTATGTAATATATTTAAAACACACTGACTCATTTTGATCTGTTTAGATCAGGGTGTGAAACTCAACCACTAAAAGGGCCACATTAAAAAGCCTCAGTAAATTGGTGGGCCAGCTGTGTTTTTACTTAACATTTCTCAGTGATCCGAACGGACCACTGTTTATTCAACACATGCTGAAACTGCAGCAGCAAAATAGCCACTGAACACTTATTCAGGAGTCAGTATGTTGCAGTGCATACTGGGGACTGTAGTGCATCTCAGGGTGAAACGGGCTAATAAGTACAGAAAAATAAAATCATTTCGCCGGCCGAATAGGACTGTGTCACAGGCCTGACTCGGCCTGCGCGCTTTGTGTTTGACACGTGGGGTTTAGAGCATGCATGTCTACTAGTTTAGAAGAAGAGTGGAAAAAACTGATGCTTCATCAACTCAGCACTAAGATTTAATATTCACATAAATAGCCTGTTGTTTTTGTCCAACCAAAACATCTGCAAAAACAGTTCAACCAAAACTTCTCAACAAGCACAACGGTGGCTGAGAAAGTCCAGCTTAATGCAGGTTCAAAAAGAGACGCAAACTCCAAAACACCTGGACCAAACTGACCACACCTGTACTACATTTACCAAACGCAGTGCACACTGAGAAAAGATGTAAATACTTAAAAGAGTTCAGTTAACATGACACCACATACATTACATTACATTACATTACATCGAATCATTCTTTTAAAAGATCTGAAAGAGGAAATAAGAGAGGACGACAACTGTAAACACCCACCAAATATGCAGTCTTTCAAAGCCTGTCTTTGAACGGTCTCTCATTTCCCAGCCCAGTTGAAAAGACAGGTCTGCTTATAAGATAAGATAATCCCTTTATTAGTCCCACAACAGGGAAAGTCTCAGTGCTACAGCAGCAAAGGGAGAGCAAGGCACTCAAGAAAAGAGTAACAAGAAGAGAATGAACAAGCAAGTAATTAACCTTGGTTAACTAACAGTTGGTCAAGGCTGACCGCAAAATACGTCGCATCATTTCCGGTGCAAACCTGGACACATGCAAAAATAAACATTAGATTAAATAAGGTTTCTACTATGTTTGCAATAAACATGTACATACAGCTCGAAACACTGCTCAGCCAATGAGATTTCAGAATTGGTATAAAAATTTGCCTATAATATTACAGATATACGATACCTCTGATTGGCTAAGGGATGAGCTGGTGATGGAACTGAACAAACACACACTGGGAGGTGAAATCTGGACCCAAACTTTGACAAGAGACGTTCTGCTTTCTTTTTCCTGTTTTTATGTTTACCTGTATGTGTTCTAATTAATTAAATAATGTGCTTGGGTGCCTAAAATCTACTGAATCAATGGCTCAGTCTCCAACCACTCCATATTCTCTATCTAGTGAACTAATAAAAACAGCCTGTATGCCCAAATATTTCATTATATTAAAGCAGAAGGAAGACGACTACATCCAGCCACGGATAACAAGGCTCTCTGCTTAACAATTAAAGTTCCATTAAC